CCCCAAAACCCCAAAACCCCAAAACCCCAAAACCCCAACAGCTAAAAGCTGCGTTGAAATATCTGAAAATGCAATTATATAGTTAATTTTATACTTATTCATCTCCTTCGTGGGCTAAAAATCAGAGATCAAACCTAGTCCCTATTTCTTTATTCTGTTTGATACAGAACTTGAAACTTCACCTGTACTCTCCAGGCTTGGTTGGTAGCTTAACCATTAAAGTGACTGCTTTATTATGGCCGCTTCTGATCTTATCCACAAGGTTTAGAGGCTCTAACTCAACCTCGTTTTTCTTGTTCACTTGTCAGATATAGGTGTTCTTAGGTACTCCCTTCTGAGACTGATTCTCTAGGGTGATATCCACGGGTACATATGATCCAGGCTTTCCTGGAATGAACCCTCTGTGGTCTGACACTACAACAATTTTCTTCCGTTGCTCTTCTTTGTAGTCTTCCCGGTCACTTTTTCTATCCTTTGATTTCTTTCTGCCACTTGCTCTATGAGAACTCTCGGAGGAATTTGAGTTTACTTCATTCATCTGGTCAGGGAAATAGCCATGTGGTTCTGCAAATTGTGGGAAGAAGCCTCCTCTTCCTCGACCATGATGGAATCCTCTTCCAAGACCTCTGAAGAACCCTCTGTGCCCTCTATGATGTCCTCCTCTACCACCTCTTGGGAAGTCAGGAAAGTTTTGATTCTGAAGATGGTCGATAAATTCATGGAAGCTCTGGCTAGCATCTATATCAACATGCTCCATATCTTGATAACTGTGTTGAAGGATTGGAGGAGGAGCATGCTGAAACATCGGGATCTCTTCAGGAGGTTGGATAATCGGTGTTTCTACAGCAACGGTTTCAAGCTTTGTGGTTGGTTTCTTAACTTCACCTTCTTTTGACGTAAATATACTCCTATAACAGATTTATCCAAGAAAACACAAGTTAAACTTACCCAAACTTTTTGATTAATTTGCTGATGTTTTGGGCTGGATTGTACTTTTGTTCAAAATATTCTTTAAGTTTTACCAGAAAAGGCTCTGCCTTTGTCCCCTTGCAATAGAAATAGATCTTTCCCAGAAGAATTTCAATATCGTAGCATTCAGCATTAATCGCATCTTCAATAACTTTGAGGAGACCCAATATGTTGAAATCTTTGAGATCTGGAGTTGTGCTTGAATCCATCTCAGTGTCTCCGATCAAATCTTGGACCATATCGGCTGCAAAAGTACTTTGAGGGTCATCTGTTTGATGCTCTCCATTTATCGGGAATTGGTTGTCTTCCATTTTGAATAATTATTTATAAAACCCTTACAATAAAATCGCTTTTTTAAGGGGTTTTGGGGTTTTGGGGTTTTGGGGTTTTGGGGTTTTGGGGTTT